AAAGTGGTCTTTATTGAAAAATCTGAAGTTTGAAGTACAGTAGAATTTTTAAGTTAATTAAGAAGCAGAGGCAGAGAGGAGAGATTCATTCCATGGATTTACTCCCTAGATGTCCACCACAGCTAGGGCTGTGCAGAACCAGCATCTTAGCCACCAGGCCAAACGTTAGCTTCCATGTAGACTTTTTTTTCTAGTCTATCTGAAGTTGCACGTACATGCAACTCTCTCTTCTTGCCTTGGTGTGCCTTTACTATACTGGTTCACAAGAGTATCATTCTAAACATTGATGGATAGTGGTCAATTTAGGATTTTTATCAATTTAGGATAGTTTATCATTTATTGTGTTTGCCATTTTCTTAGTCTACTAGGCATTTGTTTCTCTGATGTGGAAACAACAGTTTGCTGTAACAGTTTGTTGTAAAGTGAAAAGGTACCAAAGCACTCATTTAAATATTAGCATAAGGATAATGTGCATCAACTAAGTTTATCTCATGTAGCACTTAGTGTTTTCCAGGAATTATTCTTAAGTGCTTGAGGTGATCTTAAATATCATCAGAGACTTTCTATGGGAGTCAGTAGTGTGATTGAGAACTGAGGGACTGAGGCTGAAACCATCCAGTTAGACTGTAGCACAGATAGTGAGGGGTGAAAACCAGGCAGTGTGCTTTCACAGGTAGGAAGGGAGCTATGAGGATTCCCCTGCCATTTGTTTGAAATGCTGGGCATAATACTGTTTAAAAAATGTGCTTCTAACTGAGCTGAATTTGGACAGGGGTGGGTGTTTGTTGAGCTTTGACGGTCTTGTATCTGATAGGTCCCTGTGATTTTATTTTATCTAGCCAAACAAAATTTTGAGATTGACACATATGGTACTATTTTCGGATTGGTGTGAAATAGAAGACCTTCTTTATGATTGGTTTCAAACACTTTGCCCTTCCAGCAGTAAAATGGCATTTTCTACAACAGGGGCTAAAAAGGAGTGTTTTCGTTCCTTTGTTTGCGGTACTGGAGTAATGTGACAGGGTGTGATGGAAACATTGTTACCAGGAATAGATGTGGAGCCTAGCAGTTGAGGCACCTGTGTCCCACATTAGAGTGCCTGAATTCAATTCACAGTTCTGGTGCCTAACTTTACCTCTCACGGGTGCACGTTAGGAGAGGAAGCAGGTGATGGTGACTCCGATACCTGGGCTTCTGCTATCCGTGGGGGAGGACTGGATTGTTTCACCAACTCCTAGCTTCAGCCCCAGTCTTGCCCCACCCAGTTATTACGATATTTAGGGTATTGACCAACAGATGAGGTTCTCGGTCTCCCTCCCCACCTTGTTTTTCATTCCCTCTCAACCAGAGTATTTTTTTTAAAGACACTTACACAGAGTAAGAAGGAAGTTGATTCGTAAAGATCCAGGCCCCTAGCCTCTGCTAAAATAATGTCTTCTACCTCCTGCCATTGACTTGTCCAATTCCAAGATAAGAGACCTTGATGTTGACGTTAGTTAGTTCATTAATTATGAATGCATTGATAGTGTCTTACCAGGTTAGAATGCTATTTAGAGATGAGCTCCATGGTTAGTTCAAAACTGAACTGTTCTTTAAGAAATTTGTTGCTTCAGCTAGTATCTCACAGTTTTGTCTCCTACTTAACCTTCAGTAAATGGATCTAAAAAGTCTTTTTCATAACTCCTTCTGTTTTGAGGAGATAGATACTAAAACCCATTTGATGCTAGAGAGATGTCTATTTCGTTTTTTCCTTCCATTTTTGAAGGATCATTCTTTTGCCAGATGGAACTAACACATTTTAAAAGACTTCCATTAAAGAGGAAACTAAAGACTATTTGCTATTTTCATTTTCTTATGTCTCCTTCAGGTGCCCTACTTAGGTTTTTTTTTTTTTTTTAATAATTATTCATTGAGTTTACACTGGGAAAACTTGTCTGATACAATCTTTTTTTTTTTTTTTTAAAGATTTATTTTTATTATTTTTTCATTGGAAAGGCAGATATACAGAGAGGAGAGACAGAGAGGAAGATCTTCCGTCCGATGATTCACTCCCCAAGTGAGCGCAACGGGCCGATACTATGCCAATCCGAAGCCAGGAGCCTCTTCCGGGTCTCCCACGCGGGTGCAGGTTCCCAAAGCTTTGGGCCGTCCTCGACTGCTTTCCCAGGCCACAGGCAGGGAGCTGGAAGGGAAGCGGGGCTGCCGGGATTAGAACCGGCGCCCATATGGGATCCCGGGCGTGCAAGGCGAGGACCTTTAACCACTTGCGCCACCGCGCCGGGCCCCCTACTTAGGTTTTATAGGGGACAGGAGAGTTGCATGCATTGGTAGAATAAGCTCTACAACTCACTGCTTCTTTCAACACTAGTTTATCAATTTTATTTACTGTTGACTATGTGAAAAGGTCTTGAAGGAAACCGGAAATAAGAAGCCATTATCAGTGTCTTTGTTATAGGAACTTATGCATCAATCAGTAAAAGTCACTTTAAGGAGAACAGCTACAGAACCTTGTGTATAAAATCCCTTTTTAATTTTCTCTTTCAAAAAAGTATTTTACTTTTTTAATGTGACAGAGTTAAAGGGCAAGCTACACAGAGATCTTCATCTGCTGTCTCAGTCCCCAAAATTGTTGCCACAGCCATGGCGGGACCGAATCAGTATAAAGAGGCAGGGGCTTTTTCTGGGTCTCCCACGTGGGTGGGAGTGGCTCAAGTACTTGGATTATCTTCCACTGCTTCCTAGGATACATTAGCAGAGAATTGGATTGGAAGTGGAGCAGCTGGCACACAAACCTGCACCCATATGAGATGCTTGTGTCACAACAGGTGGTGGCTTCATCCACTTCAGAGATTATGACATGTAAGAGCAGAGGTGTGCTGTGGTATGCATGTGGGTTAGTGGGAGACACCTGCCATTCCCAGTGCTGACTGTGTGCTCCAGAAAGCCTTGCGTGGCTCTGTGACTGGAGTCCTCCCACTGTAGATTTTCAAGAGGAGGTTTCTATCATACGTACTTAGGAAAATACCTGAAAGAAGAGGTGCCTGATGACCACCTGTAAAAAGTAGAGGGAAGATAGGATCTCTCCATATGTAAGATGGAGGAAGACCATTTCAGGCAGAGAGTAGGATTGAGCAAAGAGAAGGAAAACTTTGAGAAATTATCCCACAGTTCAGTATGGCTGAAGTATACAGTCTGAAGGCACCCATAAGATGCCAGTTGCAAAGGGAGGGAAGGTCAAATTTCATAAATCATTGTCAAGTGAAGGTAGAGGGTAACAGGTGAGTTCTTAAATTTGGAGCCTAAATGACAAGTAAGATGTGATATCATTGAAACAAGTCAACATTGAGAGGAAAGCATTCAAAGGAGAGGGAATATTCCATTCTGACAGGCTTCATGTGGTAGACAAGGAAATCTACCTGGAAACAGAATGGCAGGCCTATGAGAGCCAGACCAAGGCTAGAAGAAGCAAGAAGGCAGGCAGAACCACAGAGGGGTCTGAGCAACCCAGGATTGGATGAGGCTGCCAAACAGGAGAGCACGAGAATGAAACCCGAGGAACTCGGAAGTGAAGGAAGACCAAAGTGCGTCAGAGAGAGAAGGAGCTGAGAGCCACGTGTTGCAGCCTCAAGAAAGGCATGCTAGGGGTGGCTCAGGTTTTATAATCGCTTGTTGAGTTCAGGTCTTGCATCACCACTTGTCAGCTGTGTGATCTGTAGCCAGTTCCGTAAGCTCTTGGGCCCCCATTTCCTTACCTACAAAATTGGGTCAACATCTTGTTATGTTCATTCAAATAGTTTAAACACGTGTTCTTCAAATTAGACTTTCAAAGCACTTTGCTTTGTTAAAATAACAATAGCTAGTAAAAGAGAGGATTTGAAGCTGACATCTATATTTCTTAAGTCCATCTAAGCAATTACATTGCCAAGTGTATTATTTTAAAATGTCCTGGTGTAAGTACAAAATTGAAGATTTAAGATTCTTTGAATTACATGTTTTATAGTATGCTGTCTTTTGTCCTCACTGGTTAAAGCATCCTAGAGTTTAAATACAATTCATTCTGTCTTATCAAGCTTAATGCTTTGAGCAATTACCATACACTCATTTTTTTTTTAAAACTGAACTGTAAGGCTTTTGCTGTTGAGTTCTTAGGGTATTTATTATTATGTTGAGTTTTCTTTAAGAAGTACTGATATTCTTACCAACATCATAGCCATTAGCTTTTGAATAAATCTTAAATTAATAGCATTTATAGCATTGGTGATTTTTCCATAACATCCTGTAAGATGCTATACTTTTTATCTTAGAAAAATAGAAGCATTTTTGAAAAGCAAAACTACTTTAGTAACTATTGCTGACAGAGAAAAAGTTGTATATATTTAATATCCACCACTTGACGTTTGGAAGTAACTCTGCACCCCTGAAACCATCACAAATGTATGTCATAAAGCTATTTATCACCTCCAAAAATATCCTTCCAATTTCTTCCCTTAGTATGAGAAAGTTAAATTTTTATTTTCTTGGAATCTATTTGAAAAACTCTTTCTCAGAAAATATTATGTGGTATAAAATTAGTTTTCCATGTGTCAGCATCATCCATAAAGTATACTTTAACAAATTTTGTTTATCTGAGAGGCAAGAGGACAGACAGTTTTCCCATCTGCTAGTTCATCTCCCCCCAAATGCCTCAGTGTTTGATATTAGGCCAAGATCAAAGGTGGAAGTCAAAGTTAATATGCTCCAGGTCTCCCACTTGGGTGGCAGAAACCCAGCTAGTGAAGCCATGAGCCTTGCCTCTCGTGATTGGCATTGGCAGAAAGCTGCAGTCAGGAGCCAGGGCAGGGAGTCCTACTCAGACCCATCCTGATGGCACACAGGCATCTTAACTGCTTGGCCAAGCACCTATTTCCAGGAAATGCATTGTAAGTGGCACTTTAATATACTGATGATTTTCACTCTTATTAGAGAAAGGAATAATAATGCTTCCCTTTCCTTCTTTGTAGGGTAATACATTAAGAAAAATACTGCTGAATCGCTACTTTAAGGGTGATTATGGCATTGGTATAAATGGAACTTACTCCAAAGCTGCGCAAGTGGGAGGTAAGTCTTACCATCTGGTTCTCATCTGAGGATTCTCGTAACAGGTCTTCTTGTCAGTGGTGCTCTAACATTTTTCTTAAACAGAGCAAGTTAAAATAATTCATTTGAAAAGCACTGTTAAAAACCTAGGTTTGGTTTTGGATTCATGAGGTAGCAGATTGGAACATGGTAATTTATTTTGCCTTGTGACTTTGAACAAAAATCGAAGTTCTAATTTTTTAATGTATGAAATAAGGACAAAAACACAGCTAGTTTTCTCCAACATGGTTTTTCTTTTAAGACTTATTTTTATTGGGGAGGCCGATTTACAGAGAGAAGGAGAGACAGGGTGGAAATATCTTTCATCCACTGGTTCACTCCCAAAGTGGCTCAGTGTCCAGAGCTGAGCCATCTGAAGCTAGGAGCCAGGAGCTTCTTTTGGGTCTCCCATGCATATGCAGGGTCCCAAAGCTCTGGACCATCCTCTACTGCTTTTCCAGTCCACAAATAGGGAGCTAGATGGAAAGTGGAGCAGCCAGGACACAATCCAGTGCCCATATGGGAACCCAGTGCATGCAAGTTGAGGATTAGCCAATTGAGCCATTGCTTGAGCCTCCCCTTTCCCCCCTCCCCCTACCTTCATAGGTTTTCTTAAAAAACAAAACTAATCACAGGTGGCAGACATTTCATGAAAAGTTGTATTTTTAATAAACTTGATGTTTTAAGCTTAAAATGGCACACATGGTAAATATGGCTTACAAATTTATGCTGTTAATGTCTGCTCTTAAGGTTGATTCATTCTCTTTTTGTTATCATAGGAAGCTTTTCTGCACAAGATACAGATAAAATGGGGATCTCGATGTCTGATATTCAATGTCTGCTGGATAAAGAAGGGGCATCTGAACTTGTCATCGATGTCATTGTGAACACCAAAAATGACAGGATTTTTTCAGAAGGCATTTTACTCGGCATTGCCTTGCTCGAAGGAGGAAATACACAGACTCAGGTACCTGTTTATCCACCATAGGCATTGCCTTTGTTACTTGTATTGCTTATTTACCTGTCCTAGAAACCAGTAGGCAGCAATGACTCCCTTTTATCATCTTATTACTTGAGGACAAATCCACACAGAACCTCTTCCTTGTAGATTTCTTTGAGTTGCTGTTAGGAACTACAGCAGCTAATGTCATGAAGCAGAATGTACCTTTGACCTATACAGCTCTCCAGCGTGATAGCAGAATTCCCAGTGCAGTGGGTAATGAACATTCCTACACCCAAGGGACCAGGCAAGTATTTCTAGGAGACACACATTTCCCTGTGGAACTCCTGCCGAGTTACCCAAGGTACTTCTGCAGGTCAAAGCCATGCCTGCTGCGTACGACCCAGAGCAGGACGGGATTGACCCAGAGAAGGACGGGGTTGACCCAGAGCAGGATGGGGTTCCCCCAGAGGATGCACAGTGATCCCCAGGTTCGCCACCCAGGGACCTCATCTCTCCAGGAGTGCCTCTATCAGAGAAGAGAAGTCTGTACCTACAATACGTCAGAACCGCTGCAGCCCACCCCTGGCCAGTTTCATCGGTTTCAAAACTGGGAAACTGCTTTAGTTTGCCACCAAATTCAATTATCAGGAGCTCCCTGTTTATCATACCCAGTAACTATGACTTAAGGAGTGATGGCCTCACAAGCAATAAGGCACAATGACCAAAAAGCCCAACCCCAAAGCTACAGAATAAATTCCTCTGAGGGAAGCTGAGGAAGGAGGCGGTTGGAGGAATCGCAGAGTGGATTTTCTTGGAAATTGTCTCGTCCTCTACAGCCAGGTATCCAACTGGGGCTCTCTAAAGAACTGTCTAGACAACTGCATGACATATGACTTAGATTAATAATAATATAGTAGAGAATATAATAAGATAGGTTGTTATAGGAGAGAGAAGGTTGGTTTTGTTTGTTTGTTTGTTGGCATCTGTAGAATCGGTCTTCAAGATTACAGTACTTCCTAGGTTCCTGTGGCTGTTGCATTTCCCCAATGGGATCCGCCTTCATCTTCCTTCTGTATTTACAGGCCTAGACGGCCTCATACCACAGGAGAAGACCATTTGTTGGAAATTGCATGCTGTGTGCGCCTTCCTGGCATTTTGTTCCCCAGGTCCCTTCACAACGCAAACATCCTTAGCCTCTATTCACATGATGTTTCTGGGGATATTTGTCACCTGAGGCCTTTTCTTTCTTCTTGAAGTTTTTCCTACCTGACTCTGGAAGCACCAGCTCCCACTTCTCCTCCTGCGTCCTATCTTTTCTTAGGAGTTCCTGTGATGTTTCCTCATTCTCTAATTAGTGCTGGAGTCCTGACATCTCTCCAGATCCTTTGAACTCTCCTCTGTGTCATTTCCCAGCCTGATCTCTTTCTTTCCACATCACTAGCTTTCACCTCTTCATGGACAAGTCTCTGTTTACTCAACATATGCAACTCATACTTGGTTGTCTTCTAGAGACCTTTAATGGGACATCCCACACATACCTTAGACTAAACTCATCCCTTTCACTCTTGTTCTCCCTACATTCACTCCAGCTTTTATAATGCCTGTCTTGTCTTGTGGCACTTGCACTCCAACCATCCCAATGTCTTACCAGAAGTTTCACTTTGGCATTGCATTTCTGTCTCTCACACCATTTGTCAATACCCTGTGGATGACAAGCCTCTCTGTTTGCCTTGTTCACGTCTCTGATAACTGCACTCTATTTTCAATCTGTGCTGCTTCATCCTTCAGTTTACATCCCTACCGATCACCTGTTCCTGGGCTTAGGGTGAGTTAATCTGTGAGTTAGCCCTGCTTATACCTTTACCTTTCTCTAAATCATTCGTGTTCTCTGCAAAGATACCATTCCACAAACCCTTCGTTCTTATTTTTTCAGATCTGTCACCTGCTCTCTCGAGGTATACTCCCTACTGTAGGCTGTAGTTTGCTTCATGGCTGAATCCCGTCTACTTTTCCAACTTATTTTTTCTCTCTCTCTGCCCTCCTCAGGTCCTTCTTTTCTTGTGCACCAACTATGACATAGATTCTTGGTAGTTCCACTAACGTATTCTGTTATTTCTCTTGCTGCCTCCATCTCCTTGAGGATTCAACTCAGTGCGTTTCTCTGGGAAACATTTCCTGACCCCCTGATTGTGCTAGACAGAGCTGACTCTAGTTACTAATGTCTGTGTGTAATTCATGGACACGTCCCTGTGCCTCTCATGTGTGCCTTAGGCACAGCCTATAGATTCAGATCCACAAAGCTTGAAAGCACAAGTTTGTCTTTGTGCAGCCTTGTGTCTGGTCCAATCCAAGGTTTTCATATATGTTCAGCAATGACTTGACTTGTGAATGAAAGGAATTCTGCCTTCTTCAGAAAGTCTTTCTGGATGTTTGGGGTCTGGGGACAGGACTGGGGGAATGCCCTTGTCTGAGCTTTCACAGCACTTGTTTCCTTCATGCTGCCTTGGTACTTTGTTCTTTATTTGCTTGTTATTTGTATTGAATTCTACCTCTCTAGTTAAATTTCAGCTGCCTTAGTGTAGCAGATCATGTCCTATACTTTTCTAATCCTGTATGACCATTTAAAAAAAAAAAAACAAAACTGTTGGCTGGTAAAACATAATTAACTTTATACAAGAAAACCTTCTTTTAAGATTGATTATGGCAATCTAATTTACCATCCTTCCCTTGTTCAGAGTTTTCGCTTCTGCCTATTCATGGGATGACCCAAATGTTAGCCATGTGCTCCAAATAACAAATCTAATTCTGTTCCTTGCACTGTAGCACTCTATCACATTCTCTTTCCCATGACTCTAGGCACTCCCCTGGGGGGAGGGAAAGCTTTCTCATTGTCTCCCTTACCGTGAGTGCATTGCTTTCTCAGTTGAAGGATCACTTTAATGCCTATGCTTCTGTTGTATGACTCACAGCCCTTTATTAATTTTTTGCCTAACTTCATAAGTTAACTTGCCTACTTACAGCGGAGGGGGAGATTAAAGGAGGTACCTATAATGATATGCTTTCAAATTGAACAGTAATGATGACTGCAAAATATAATATCTACAAAGCACCAAGTTATTTGTGTTGTGATTTATGCATTTACTTGTCAAATCCTCAAATAGCCAGTAAGGTAACACATATTCTCTTATCTTGCTGAAGAAGAAACTCAGTTAGACCCAAGCTCAATTAGCTAGAGCTAGAGACATGATTTGAGCCTCTGTGTTGTGGTTCTGGATTCTATGCTCTTATCCACAGTGAACGTCTGTGCTGCAGACTCGGCTTACTTTGCCCTTGCTTCTGGGAACCCTTCATTCTGCTTCCTTCAGGTCTCCAGGACCTTTCTTCCCTTCCCTTCTCTGCTCTTCCCCGGGGGCGAGGCCTTTCCTTGTCACGTGGATTTCTTCATCCATCACCCTATGATCCTAGAGCAAACATTAGCGGTTCCCCAAAACGCACAGTCAGTCAGCTGAGGGAGATGGTTTGCTTCCACAAGGACACACTACCTGTAGTAAGAAAATCCATCCATTACTTCTGGAAATTGTATCTATGTAGATTAGACACATTTTTAATCATCATTAAAATCATGTTATTATAGAGTCCTGGTTTATAAGGGGGTATCATCTATGTAAATATCTATTGTTTTGAGATTCAGAAGTTATGTTGTAGATTTAGTGGTTTAGAGTAAGAAAGCATAGATTGAAGCCCTAGCTTTATTATTTACCAGTTATGTGAAATTGGGTGACTAACTTGCCTTCTCCAAAGCTCACTTTCTCACATATAAAATAGAAATAAGAATAGTTTATTCATCAACCTCCTATACCAAAAGTGTGCTCAAGATGAGGTATGTGAAGGAACTCCATGAAGTATTAAACTTTGTTTTAATAGAGCCACAACATTTTCATAACCTCCTCATTAGTATGTTGGAATCTCCTTCCACCTTCTAACCCCATGATATTGAAAAATATTAGAGCTTATGCATCAGCTTAATTCCAGGGACCACAGAAATTGGTGGGTGCTGCATTTATCCTTTGAGCCAACAGAGCCAGCTCCACTGGTCCCCTGTAGTTGCTGTGGTTATTGTGACTTTGTGGCCTGTTGTCTGGAGGGGCTGGTGGCCTTCTCTGCTTCGGAACTTCCCCTGGCAGTTATGATACTTACACCTAAGGAGTCATAAAACTCAATTGCAGGACAAGCAGTGAGTTCAGTACCTCATGGGGATAGTCTCACCTACAAGTGCCCACAGCTCTGAGCCTTCCTTTGGGATTGTAGTGTGGACCAGCCAATCTTAGACTGGCCGAGTTTCTCATGTAGAATATAACCAGTTAAATCTGCTTTGTCAGGAAATTATTCTTTATATATGTGTATAAAAGAATAATTTTGTATATACATATTTTGTTCATACTGTCTCATTGAATTTATATAACTTTTTAAGCTTTGCATAGAGATTCTTCCCTCTCCTTTCCCCTCTCCTGCCATTTTTCCTCCATATTATCACGATAGTATAGTACCTTAGTAACAGTTAGAACTTTAGCATTCTGCTATTTAAGTGTATCCTGGCATTGTAGACAGAACCGTGTAATGGAGATGGGCATACCAGGACGTACAGGTGTGTGGCAGTGTGCATCTGTACTCCTGAAGAAAAGGAGGACTCCCAGTGAAACATTTAAAATACCTTTGCAGTATATAACTGTTTTAAATCACTGGAACTTAAGGCTTATTGTCATTTTCAGTTGTTTTTCTAGATTTCTCTGGCATGGGTTATTTTCATATCAGAATTTTAGTATAATTTTCCACCTGTTCCCAATTCCCATTGCCATGGAGTGTATCACCTTTCTAAGACCCTACACTGCAGATTCTGCCATCAGGCACCACCCAGCAAGCAGTGATTAAGGTCCAGTAGTACTACATCGTGCTATGATCTGTTTCAACATGCTTTCAGTGTTCAAGGCTTTGTGTTTCATTATTCACTCTAAAGCAGAGTTTATTTTAAGGTGTGTTTGTTCTGGACCTCATGGGAAGCAGTGTAGCTAATGAGACTCCGAAAAAATTTAGTGCTGTTTATCACTAGGTTCCCATGAGTGTGTTGCCATGACAACCCATTCTAAATTAAATGTAGTATAATTTAGGTAGAGAGAAATAACTCCTTGTAACTTAACATAAACTCATATTTATCCAGGATGATCGTTGAATTAGTTGTTATTTGCACTTCGAGTTTGGAACTCAGGAGAACAGGGGTTGTGGCTGCTTTTCCCGTTTGACCCAATCTTAGGGCCTGGCACATACTAGTCCTACAATAAATATGCATTTACCCAGTGCATGACGTTCTATAAGGACAGACAGCTTTCCTTAAAACTTCTTACAGTGCCTTCATAAGTTGTAATAGCTATGTAATCAGGAAGGATAGATTAAGTAGCACATGAGAATATGTTACATTTTAGTGGAAAGTATTTAGTAAATACTAGCTATTATTACCACACGTGAAATAATATTAGAGAGTGACAGAGCCTGTCAGTTTATCAAGTAATAATGGGTAGCACATTAAATGTGTGCTTTTATCCATACTGCTTATGTTTATGTCAAGTATAAAACATTGTTTTTCTCCCCTGGAGTATTGATTTCTTAAAATATGTTTTCTTGCAGTCTTCTTTCTACCAGCAGTTGCATGAACAAAAGAAATCAGAAAAATTCTTCAAGGTTCTCTATGACCGAATGAAAGCTGCTCAGAAAGAGATCCGATCGACAGTAACAGTTAACACCATTGATCTGGGTGGTAAGAAAAGGGATGATGACAATGAGCTCATGACATCTGGACCACGAGTGAGAGGTAAAATGCCACCATCCGGCCTTGGCTGACTTGGGAGAGCAGTCAGAGCAAGAAGGCAGCATGGAGCTCTCACTTATCTTTGTCATCTCGTTTATCTTGGTTAATTAGCCCCGCTGTGGCTCTGAGCAGGCACTTCCATCTGTAAAGAATTTTGGTCATGGGCTTGACCTTAAAACAGCTCTGCAGGACCCAACTTAAACGAGCCATAATCAGAACAAAGCCGCCAGTGACATGAAAACCGTTGGATTTCATTGTGGTGTGCGTGGTTAAGAACAGCTGCCTACAGCCTTTAAAGGCACCATGAAAATCTAACTTCCAGAACAGAGATGACCGCAAGAGGTGCCAACAAAGGAATTTTGATGTTTGGGACAATAAAATCAATGTTTTAAGCTCAGATCATAAAGTTATTGTCATCTGCGGCTTATCCTGTTTTCCAACCTTCTTGTAACATGTGAACTCACATATGTTTCAGTATTGCTATGTGTGCACATGTGTGAGAGTACATAAATGTACATTATGCATGTATTACTCATATTTGTAAGAAATTTGAGATCCATGTGTATTTGAGGTCCCCAAAAAGCTCATTGTAATGTGTAGTATAAAAAACTGCAAGAATATCCATTTTGTGATGAAATTAGCTTACCTTTTCATTCCATTTTTTCATGAATTTTAAAGGCATGAGTTCCTCTAAGGTTAGCTGTATGTTGAGAGTGTTTTGATGTCCCCTAACAAATTTTAATTTACAATTGCTACCTCAAATCCAGCTTTGGGAAACTGTTACTCCTCTTGACAGATTATTTTTAATTCAGTTGTTACAGATTTTAGGTACCTGGTTGTCCTTTCTTGTGTTTTGTTTTGCTTTGTTTTTGAGTTAGTAAACAGAAATTAGTTCAGCACTGTAAGAGTACTGCTTCATTTTCAGTAAGAGATTCGGCGTTACATTTAAAAGAAGGAATGAAAGGGCAGCTGACAGAAGCTTCTTCGGCCACATCAAAAGCGTACTGTGTGTACCGAAGAGAAATGGATCCCGAGCTGGATGTGATGTGCTCTGGGGCCGACGCAGGCAGTGCCGAGGACAAGTCTGCAGAGGAGGTACCCATGAGCCCGGCAATTGCCATCATGCAACCCATCCTGAGGTTCCTCCAGCTCCTGTGTGAGAACCACAACCGCGAGCTACAGGTATCTTTGTGTGCGGAGGCTGAGGAGGTGGTCTGTGGCTCTAGGCCAGTTAGTTCAAGTAAATCAAAACAGCACATAGTTTTGGAGAAAGTTGGTTTGTGTTGTGTTGTGTTTGGAAAGGAGCAGAGATAGACCTGCTGTCTGCTGGTTCACTCCCCAGTGGCCCATGACAGTTGCTGCTATTGCCAGGCCACAGCCAGAGCTTGGGATTTGGTTCAGGGACGTCTCTAGATGTTGAGGACCCAAACGTGAACCTGTGAGGGTGTGGAGCCATCATCAGCTACAGTCAGGAGTGGAGATGCAAGGTGAACACAGCTATTTAGACACAGGATTTGGACATTCCCAGCAGCATGGTAACCCTTGAACCAGATGCCTACCCCCTGGGGAGAGAATCAGTGGGAAAAAAAATGGTGTTGTTTGTTTCATTTCAGTGAAGAAAAATTCCTTTATGTGTGATCAAAATTGGGTTCTGACAGCATTGTCCTCTATACCTTCTACTCAAGTGTTAGCCTCTGGGGACACAATCTGTCTCTCAGATTCTGGGTTTGTGGAGGAAGCCACAACTGCCCCATTGGTGCCATCCAGGATGCTTCCCGCAGTTCCTGTCCTTGTGCTTCTTGAGTGAGAATTCTGTTGTCTTCTGTAGAGACAGAATTAATATGGAAGGTTCTTTGTTTTTACACGAGGAACCCTGATACTGTTGGGTATGAATACAGTCTGTTTCGATGTCATTGCAATGTTTTCCTTTGTTAGAGAAACTTAGGGACATACAGGAGTCTTGTCTGCCCCACTCCAACACACACACTTCTTTACGTTGTGTATACAGTGCTTAGTCGCATGGCAAAACCTTAATCAGCTTCATCCATGGTGGCTGAGTGTGCTTAGCTGCAGAGGCTGCAATAGACTGTGCACCTTCAGGAAGGACACACTTCTGTTGTGCCCAGTCTTCCATGCTTCCAGGTACCATCTTCACCCACAGATTTTCTCCATGAATCACCGTGGTACTGGCTGGAGGCTCTGCACTTCACACCAACATTAGCTGGGGTGCAGCTGCCAGGCTTGGGCTGTGTTTCAGCATCCGTGCTTGGGTTTGGAAGGCTGCTATCCATATAAGATGACTAGCAGGAGTGTCCAGGTGTCCTCTGTGAGGCCCTGGAGGGCAGCTGTAATGGCTCCCATACTTGTAGGAGGATCTGTCCGAGTTCCACCTGACCCAGCCTCAGCTTGAAGGACATTTTGGGAGTGAACTAGCAGATGGGAGATCTCCATCTTTCTCTCAGTTCTTCTTTGTTTTTCAAATAAATAAATAAATCATAAAAATTGAAAAAATATTCATGATATTTAGTCATTAAAATAGTGTAAACAATAGATAAAATAAAGTTTGCTCACAAGTTTACCTTTCTGACAAGTTTGTTTCAGAGAAAAATCACTGCTGAACTCACAGCTTTTTGTCCCAGAAGTATTTATGCACATGTAAGCACACTGAACCTGCAGGCAAACTTTTTAAAATGTCCACACACTTGCACACACACCCATTACATAGCTTTTACAGCTTCTTTGTTTAACAGTAGAACTTATTATCAAGTTACTTACTTCTGAGTTATGTTGGTTAGTATGCACTGAAGTATCTAATTTTTTAATAGCTTTCCAAGATTGTGGTAGTTATATCCACTATTATTTTTTCAACTTGTCATTACCACAGCTGCAATGTGGTTGCTAGTTTTTCTCATAAAAGCAGTGTGCAGTGAGCATACCTCCAGGATAACTGCTGAGAAGGGGAGTACTGAATGTGCTGAAAGTTGAGATGGCTGCTTCCTAACCACGTAATCATTGGCTCTCAGCGCACAAGAAAGCTGCACCAAGTCTAAGGAATTATTCAAATGACAAGTGGGTCCCTTTTCTCCCTAACGAACATCTTTCTAGTTTTATTTTTTCTTTTCCTACTTCCTTTGGTGTTTGCCTCCCCTGTGAAATATGAAGATAATGACATTGATACAAGTGTAACATGAATTATACTGATAAAGTTCAGAATCTGAAGGCCTTGGGACGTTGGGCCTAATGGTTCATTCATTGGCTGGGAAGCCTGCATCTCGTGGATGTGCATGCCTAATTTCAAGTCTTGACTCTGGTCCTAATTCTAGGTTTCTTCGCTGGTGTACTCTGGGAAGTTAAAGGTGCTGCCTCAAATCATTGGGTTCCTTTCACCCATGTTGGAGACCCATAGTTCCTAGGTCTCTGTGTTAGCCAGGCTCAGTCCCAGAAATTATAGTCATCTGGGGCATGAGCCAATAATGGTAGATCTGTCTGTCTCTGCTTCTCAAATGAAGCGTATATACGTGACTGTCCCCTACCTCCCTTTAGTGTGGAAGACACTCAACACGTGGGAACACTATGCTACAAAGAACAGTTCTCTTCCACATTGTCATGGACAACTTCTTGAGTTGAAACACACATACACACACACACACTGCACTGAAAACAGTTCAGTGATTTTTAAAAATCCTTTTGGGTATATTTTCTTTTGTCTTTAGAACTTCTTGAGGAATCAAAACAACAAAACAAATTACAACCTTGTATGTGAGACCCTGCAGTTTCTGGACTGTATTTGCGGCAGTACCACTGGTGGCCTGGGCCTGCTGGGGCTCTACATCAATGAGAAGAATGTTGCTCTGGTCAACCAGACCCTGGAGAGCTTGACAGAATACTGCCAGGGCCCGTGCCACGAAAATCAGGTAATCTCATGTAAAATCAATTGTGACTCAGGACCACAGGACCAGGGTGGGGAAGGAGCCTACCTTTGTAAACATTGGAAAAAGCCACCTTCTTACTTTACCACACTTTTGCACTTTCCCACCAAAGCATGTGTAGACTGAATAATAGTTGAGTGAACACTATCCCATATTTTTAGTTCTTAACATAAAAGAAAAATTTCCACGAAAATGTTCAAGGTAAAAATCAGGCTAATGGAAAAAGGATAAAATGTGTCTCCTCATCATTGCTCAGTTTTCCTCTGTAGTCAATCCAGGATTTGTGGGATGAAATTCCTTTGACTCCCCCAAAACGGGGAAAGCATGTTGTCTCCTTTCGGCTGTAGAGCAGCTCCTCGCGTTCAGGGCTGCTGTCGCCGAGTGTAAGCAGAGCACAAAGTTCTGGTTCTCTTCCACAGAACCTCTGTCTCTGGTCCGACTTCTCAGATACGAGGGCCGCTGTATGACAGCAGAAGACAGGGTACATGGCAACTTACTCATTAAAAGTCGAGCATCCACACAAGCATGATGGAGCTACCAGCCACGAGAATAAATCTATCCTGTGAAAGCTGTCAAATCACAAGTATTTCTGAATGTAGATGGAACAGTAACATTGAGACTTAATATCAGTTGTTAACATACAGGTATGAAACAGAACTTGGTTCTGCTGCAAATTAGGTGACACACACATACACTCGACCTAGAGCCAGTGTCACATGCTTACATGCTTGATTACATAGGCACATATAATAAAAACGTATCAGCTATTGACATAGTTTGTTTTGGGACTCTTTTGCCCTTCTGACATGTGCCTGTGGCATACTAGATGAATTTGTAGGTTTTTGTCCTATATTTTTGTGCTTGCAATTCATTCTCTGGGGGGCAATGAAACAAAAATATCTAACTGTTAAGTAAAGGAATAGTATTAGAAATTCAGATATAAAAATGCCCCCTTTAAAATATGCGGGCTTGGCAGAGCGTTTCGGTATTCTGAAAATCACTACAAATCAGTGAAAAGTGAGATTCTGCATGTATAAGTCACGTACTCAAGAGTTAAGAATTAACTACATTTTAAGGGTCAGGAACTATGTTGATTCTGTTAGGTTATGTCCTGTTCCAGTGTTACACTGTATTTGGAAGACTGTCTTATAGATAGTTTTATTTTCTAGACATGTATTGCTACCCACGAATCTAATGGGATTGATATCATCATTGCTCTGATCCTAAATGACATAAACCCTCTTGGAAAATACCGAATGGACCTGGTGCTCCAACTGAAGGTACAGTACATCCCCTGTGCCGGAGGTGGGGTGGGGAGGTTTCTCATTCTTTACACAGAACCCCAAGTCGGTGCTCTGTCTTTAAGTAGGTGTCGTAAAAAGTCAGGATCTTGTCACATTTTCAGCTCATGCTGACAGAAGGGAATAAAGTAAGCACACTGTTCGGTAAATTCCTAGTTTAAAAATGTGAGGGTGGGGTGGAGCTTTGGCTGGTAAGGATGGGGAAGTTGGCATTGAGTGGTGTTTCAGACTGTCCTGTCTTGGAAATTATTTCAGCCTCATGACTCCCCTTCTGTTTTTACTGTACATCTTTTATTAAGTGGAGAATCAAAAGGTGCTCAACATTCATGTTGCGTACATTTCTGATTCGCCCTGACTACTGAATTCCATCTAGTAAGTCCAAGTTAGCTAACACCAAAGCAGTAGCATAGTTTAGTTTTCTAAATGCTGTTCTGGTTTACATTAGAATCTTTTCCCCACACAAAATGCATTGTCATAGTCATCCCTTGGAGAGTTTCCCTTCAGCCTTGTACACACTTCCCAGCAGTTCCATTTGTCAGAAGTCACAGACATTGGGAAAATTTTCTTTTAAACTTTTTATTCAGATAGAAATGGACAATGAAGGCTAAAAAAAAAACTATGTAAATTCCAAATGCTAAGACATATTTAGTTGACATGAATTAATGAAGCCAACATTATGCTGAGTTCTAAACAGGTAAAATAAAATCATTGCTTAAATACAATGTCTGTGTAAATCAAATCTATCTGATATCATAGAGACTCTGTAATTAAGTATAGCCTTATATGGGTAAATGTGGCAATGACAATTTATAGTCATGTTTCTGATGGTAAGTTTAGGGGTATGATGGAGTGTGAAAGCTTTGCTACAGGACTGTAGTAAGCAAATCCTGTTAATGGGAGGAATACATATATTTTTTTTCACTGTTTTTGTTTGCAACGTGTGTAAACTTTGGAGCTTACATTCGTAGAGTGGAATGAAGGTGGTCTTTGTGTAGATTATACCTGTGCCTTGTGTTTTATTAATATGAGGTATTTGTGCCCTAGCCAGTATACAGATAATATCTGTGAATCAAAACTATGTATATTGGCAAATGTGGGGGCTTACAATGAGAGCTTGTTTTAAAAGTAATAAGTTCTCTTTAACATCATAGAAATACCATATTAAAAATATTAAGGTTTTATTTTATATCACTCACTCCTTAATTTGCATAATTATCCCTAATTTTAAGCATACTTGACTGTACTTACTGATTTCGTATGAGCTTATGAATTTTTCATATGCATGTCTTAATCTTTTATTTTATATTCACTGAATTGTATATATGTTTTTTTCAAGATTTATTTATTTTTATTGGAAAGGCAGATATACAGAGAGGAGAGACAGAGAGGAAGATCTTCCGTCCAGTGATTCACTCCCCAAGTGAGCGCAACGGCCAGGGTTGTGCCGATCCAAAGCTGGAAACCTGGAACCTCTTCCAGGTCTCCCACGCGGGTGCAGGGTCCCAAAGCTTTGGGCTGTCCTCGACTGCTCCCCCAGGTCACAAGCAGGGAGCTGGAAGGGAAGTGGAGCTGCCGGGATTGGAACCGGCACCCATATGGGATCCCGGCACTTTCAAGGCGAGGACTTTAGGCGCTAGGCCACACCGCTGGGCCCAATCTCTATATTTGGAGTGGGGAATTTGTGAATAGATACGTTTTAAATTTTTGAGGAATCTGATTTCTTCTGGAAGAAAATGTGCTAACACTGATACTTGAATTTGATTTTTTTTTTTTAGTATATATAAGCTCTTTTAACTGATTCTGAATTCAGTAGATCATGTGCAAAATTTCCATTCTCATGACAAATTACATAAAAGAAGATTCATCAGGGAAAAAAATATTGCCAGTAGTATTACAACACTGGCTGGATTATAAGGTATCATACATGGTTCCTGCTGAGAGTGGCTGGTTAGAGAATGGTGTTAGTGTTGCTCAAGTTTTATCTTTGACTTCTGTGGATGTCTGTTCAAATAGATCTAAGGGGTCGTGCTTTCCACCAAACCTGGAAATGTATTTGCATGCATGTTGTTTGCATGTAATACATGATTCTAAGTGTAGCTTTCAGGATTGATGAAAATATGCACATTATTGAAAAACGATGCTACTGTCTCCCTCTCCCCAGTATTACTGAAGTCTTTTCATGATGAGAGAGTAACCTTGGTGTCACTGTCATCTTTATAACCACTGCTCCTAGCATTAGTCTCTTTAAGATGGTCTTAAGGCTGTAACTCTCTCTTAGGGAAAAAAAAAATTTATTACTCCATGAAAAAGTTCATAGACTCTGGAATTTTCCCTTCCCCAAATTCCCACCCCTTACCGATTCCCCCATAGAATTACAGTAGTATAGTCCTTCACAATCAGTCATAAGTCCATCATTCTGCTATTGTTTCTGCAATGTATCCTGACACTGTAGGCATGGGCAGTGACAGAGTCCAGCATCTTATTGTCAAGATATATTCAACAGTTTCATTGAGAGTCCATCTTTAATTTGGAAGTAGAGATGCACACTGCATTGTATCTTATTTGTATGTAACAGTCTCTACTACATAGTTATGAAACATCCCCTTTAATGAAAAGCCATAAAACAAAATCAACAGAATAGTAAAATAGAAAAGTTACAACATTAAGTTAAATAACATGCTATTGAATGACTGTGTCACTGAAGAAATAAAAAATATATATATAAGATCGTCCTGAAGTAAATAATGCTATAGTGTGACCTATGAGTCAGTGAGAAAATTAATTTATGAAAATGAAAAACAAAAATATCATCCCCCCCCCGAGGTGTAGCAAAAAAAGTATTGAATGGGCTAGTGATCTTGTATTTTGCATGAAGGTTGCCGTATATCAGAGAGAACATACGATATTTGTCCTTCTGGGATTGACTTGTTTCACTGAGTTTAGTGGTCTGTACTTGGAACCATTTGGTTGCAAATGGTAGAATTTCATTATTTTTAGTGGCTGAGTAGTATTCCATGGAGTAGATGTGCCACAATTTCTTTATCTACTCCTCTTGGAATGGGCATCTGGGCTGTTTTCATGTCTTTGCTGTTATAGATTGGATTACAGATCCCTTTATCATATGCAGATTTCATTTCTTTTGGATATATTCCCAGCAGCGGGAGAGCTGGGTCATACAGTAGATCAGTTTTCAGTGCTCTTACCCCTATCCATACTGACTTCCACAGTGTCTTACTAGCCTGCACGTTTCTCTCCGTATCCATGCCAGCAGGTGGTGTTAGTAGAGTTCTGAATGGACTCTGCTCCTTCTGTACTCCTGTCAAAGGTTATGCATGGAAGGAAGGGTTGTACACAGAAATACTGTACAGAATGATTAAGAACTTGTGCACCCTGTGTTATCTTTCTGTAACTCTCTGATCTTCACTTCAGGTTGTAAGTCATAGCAGAAACGTCATTACACTCATAGGTGAAATTGTCTGAGACAATGAATGTGTAACCCAAAGTTAGAACATGTCAAAAACAATCAAAGCCATTTTCATTCTTACTTAAGCCAACAGAGAAAATGTTACTTTCTATAAGCCAGATGGCAAAGATGCTATGAGATCAGCAAATCATTATCCATACATTTATATTCCAAACAGGTAACTGTAGAGCTTTACAGATCAAATTTCATTAGTTAGTACCCAGATTTCATTAAAAATTTGACTTGCTTACATATTAACATTTCATTTGTGAAGCAGTTTTCTCTACTTTTAAATAAATCTTTAAAACCAAATTATTCTAAATTTCTTAACATACAATTTTTGTAAAACATGTCATTGATCGCTCTTCACCTGATTTTTTTGTTGGTTGATGTTAAATATCATATTACCTTGCCTGCTTGGGATAGCGGCAAGGTAAATGTGGTTATATTTTCATACAGTGTATAGTAAATAACTTTTATATATGAAACACCTTCTTACCCATTTTAAAAATATTTCTTGTTATATATCTCTTATGATTAATTAGCCTTATTTTTTGGTGACAACAAAGTACAACATTCTGTATTAAAATGTTAATCACCCAAATAATTAGCACTTTTAAGTTCTATGTGATTAAAATAAATGGTCACTGCAATCTCATTATAACAAACGCGGGGATCGTTAATCCATGAAATAGACTTTGCACGCACACTGACTTCACTCTGTGTCCGCAGAACAACGCCTCCAAGCTCTTGCTGGCCATCATGGAAAGCAGACATGACAGTGAAAATGCGGAAAGGATTCTGTTCAACATGAGGCCCAGGGAGCTGGTAAGGAAACTGTTGGAAGCTGTGTTATGAACGTTAGCCTGAAAGGACACATGGATGGGATGTCAGTCCTTTGTGGGCTCCCCCAGCATGGAACAGGGTGCCAGGAGCTTCCACTACAAATGCCCTGAAGGCCCTGCCATGGCACATGTATGTGAGAGTTGCGTCCTATGGCTTTGTTCCTTATTATACACACTGGACACTGCTCTTAATCAACTCTTCTACGCTAAATGTGTTTTTTATTTGCCCCAAAGTATGTTGGTTTTGGTTTCCTAGAGTGTGGGATTACACAGGTGGAGTTGATAAAAATTATATCCTTCAAGGTTTTTACTTTAATCTCCAAGAAATAAAAAAATAAAACCAAGAGCTTTGTAGATACTTACTGCATGTGCAGCTCAGTAAGCTGTTGCACAGTGTATGGCCTGGAGAAGGTTGTGTTCAGTGCTGGTGGGTGTTGCGTAGAGATCCTCTGTGTGTCTTATGTAAGAAATAGTAACTTTCCTCTTATTTGTGACATGTGAATGTAAAGATTTACTTATTTTTATTTGAAAGGCAGATTTACAGAGAGGAGAAATACAGAGAGAGAGAGAGAGAACTCTTCCATCCGCTCGTTCACTCTCCAAGTATCTGCAGTGCACAGAGCTGAGCCAGTCTAAAGCCAGGAGTCAGGAGCTTCTTCTGGGTGTCCTACGTGGGTGCAGGCACCTAAGGCCTTAAAACATTCTCTGCTGTTTTCCAAGGCTATAAGCAGGAAGAGATATGAGAAATGGGACAGCCAGGACTAGCACTGGTACCTATATTAAATGCCAGTACTTCAGACAGAGGATTCGCGTGTTGAGTTATTGCACCCACAACATTTTTTTAAAAAAATTTTTAAAAATTTATTTGAAATAGAGAAAGAAATCTCCTAAATGCTGGTTCTCTCCTTCCATGACCGTAACATCTTGGGCTGGACCAGGCAAAGTCCAAAGCTGGGACCCAGTCTTGATCTACAGCGTGTTTGGCAGTCAGCCAGCTACTTGGGCCCTCCCCTGTTTCCTCTTAGGCTCTTCAGTAGTTCTTACTAGGAGGGGAGTAGGGCCAGAATTGACCCTAGGTATTCTAATGTATGATGTGTCCTAATCACTGTTTTAACTGCAACATCAGATGCCTCCCCTAGATGATGATGGTCAAGCATCAGATTCGAAAAGCATTCAGAACATACTTAAGCCCACAGAGCTCAGGGCCTCAGCATTCACAGAAGCACACCTGTGGCACACTGGCACCACACTCTTGTGCTGTCACTTTTCTAGCAGAGAATGGAGCCAAGATGGACAGATGAGGAGGAGATAAGGTGCAGCTTGATTTACCACACATTTGCAAGGTGTGGCCAGGAGGAGCAACATTACCGAGCCTATGTAGGAATGGAATGATGTTGTTCATTGAAGTCAAGATGGTTTCTGAGACCATTTACTCTTAGAGCCCTTTCATGCTTTTGCTCTCCTGAGGCTCCCTAATTTTAAATTATTCTCCACAAGTAATCTAAATTGCATGATGCTCAGGGCTTTTTTGACCTTGTATTTTTTTTTTTCCTGACAGGTGGATGTGATGAAGAATGCCTATAACCAAGGGCTGGAGTGCGATCATGGGGATGAGGAGAGCGGAGATGATGGTGTTTCCCCAAAAGATGTGGGACACAATATCTATATTCTGGCCCATCAGGTATTGCATTTTACAGCTTTGTATTGTTTTGCTGTGTTGTCAGCGGCGTATCATCCTATTTTCAGCTTCTGCTCCCTTCATTGATTCGGCACTTGCCTGCCTTCATTTCGGTGAAAGAGAGGAACAAGCACCCATTATGGCTGGTTTTGTGCACTAAGTGTGTGTTAGGGGACCCTGCACAAAATAACAGTACTTCCACCAAAGACTGCTGGGCCTGAAGGAAGGAAGCAGTCCCTTATGGGAGTCCAGGAAAGGGGCCAACCAAAGTCTCAAGGGGTAGAGGAGGAGATGGCACTGAGCAGGCAGGAGTAGGAAATCAGGGCACATGCTTAGGTCTGAACTGACAAAGCTGACCAGGTAGCTTCTGGCTGCCTTGTCCTTCCTGCCTCCTGCAGAAGATGTAAAGTGGCAGCCTTTGACTCGTTTCCATTGGACTTCTAGCATCGATGAAGCTCAATTCTTAAAAATTCTTCTATAGGGCTTGTTTTCCTTTAGTAACTTAGAAAACAGTCCTTCGTAAGTCTCATTGAGTACATTTGGTTCTATTAGCATTGTGGTGGGATTTTTTTTTTAGATCAGTTTTAAATTTGCTTCCCGGACAAGTTTGTTTACAAGTTATAATGTGAACCGTGATTTTATCCATAGTAACTCCCTCTTTTTCACAGAATACATTTCAAACATATAGGCTTTCCCAATCTTCCTTTCCAGTCATTTTCTTCTCTCCTGCTTTCCCATACTTCTTATCAGTTCATTAACTATTTATAGATGTGAGATTAGATTCTGGGTGGACTCTAAGTGGACTTTTTGGAGAGGTAGAGGGACAGAGAGCTCCCAGTCAATGATTCTTTTCCCAAATGACCCTTTCCGTAACAGCAAGGACTGAACCAGTGCTGGACAAGGGCCAGAGCTGGGTGCTGGGAACTCTCTGCAGGGCTCCCACTGAGGAGGTCGGTTGGGCAGTGGGGAGAGGGCAAGAATTCAATTACTTGAACCCTCGCTGCTGCCTCCTGGAGTTGGCCAGAGCTGGAATTGGGAGCCAGAGCTGAGAATCAAGCATAGGCATTTGCTGTAGGATGCAAGTGCTTTAACATCCAAACACTTTGACATCTTAACCACTTAGGCTAAACACCTGCAACTGGATTTATTTTTAAAGGTTGCGAAGTAGACTTGGTAGCTTGTGTGTAACTGGCTAATTATAAGGAGACTTCAACAGACTCATAAAAATGTAAAATTCAAACATAAGCTCATTATATATATATAACATATTTGGTATTCATACATATATTTTATTATATACATTGTCCAGAAACTTGCTGGATAATGCTGAAGGCTCCTTGTATGCATAAACTTCAAAAATGTATCAAAAGTAAACTGTCTTTTTAATTGCATTTTCCATGAACTTTGTGAAGTCCTCTTGCCTGTAAGTTTGAGTATAGTTTTTACGGAAACTCCAGGGAAGGAATCATGTTCTGAAAAATACTAATACAAGAAACTGTAATTGTTTGATGATGCCATTTGTTCGTTGAGAAGGTTTTAAGGTCTCTCATTGCATTTCAAAGTGCATATATTGACCAGAAAGAGGTCATGACATGTGAGTAATAGCTAGAAATTCAAAAGAGCATTTCAGGTATTGAGGAACTGAAAGCCTGGCCAACTGGGCCGATTAGAAAATGGAGACCTCGTTTGTGGAAAAGCTGTTGTCCTAAAGAGACAGAGAAATCCAGTGGTAGAAAACCTGAGTTAAACTGTGAAGGCATTGACTGTTGAGTGAATGTGAGTTGGAAGAAAAAAAAAAATCCTAGACTGAATTAAGACCTTGCTGGCTGCAGGTCAGGGAAACGCCGTGACTCGGGAAGTGCTGGGAGAGGTGTGGCTTCACAGGTTTACCACTGTGCAGGGGAAAAGGCAAGGAAGGTTGGGGCTGAGGGAGCAGTTAAGTGTTCTAGAAGAAGGAAGTAGGAGAGGGGAGCCACCTCTTTATTTTTCTTTGTTATTCTTTTATTTGAGAGGCAGTGATGAAAGAGATACAGAAGACGTGGGGCAGAAGGAAGGATCCTCTGGTTTACTTCCCAGATGCTTAAAACAACCAGGGCAGGGCCAATGCCAAAGCCAAGAAATCAACCCCGTGTTCCCTGCAGGTGGCAGAGACTTGACAGCTTTAGTCTGAACCTGCTACATCCCTAAGTGCATATTAGCAGTGCCTGTAACAGCTGGGGCCTGGACCAGACAAAATCTAAGAACCAAGAACTCCAACTGAGTCATCTACATGGATGGAGAAAACTCAAGTCTCTGGAATATTATCTGTTGTCTCCTATTACATGAACTCTGTCAAAAGAAGAAACAAAACTCAATCCCAGGGATGATAATATTCCAAGCAACAGTTTAAATTGCTGTACCACAATACCTGCCCCTTGAGGAAATCTTAAGTACCAATTTAGATTAACAGTACTAAGATGAGCAATGAAGATTTTAAGTTCAATTAAAGACTTAGGCCAGTTCAGTTTTAGTAGGTTAGTATAAGAACAGAGCATATGGATTTATTTTTCTAAAGGCTGTATTAAATGTTGAAAAGAGTGGGAAATGGGAGGAAAGAATGCCAGAGCTGAACAAAAATTTAACAACGATAACAAGAAAAAGTAAAAATTCCTAGGAAAGAAATTGAAAATGAAAACAGCATAAAAGTCAACTATTTTAATGTGTTTGAATTTATGGATGTATTTGGAGAGGGGAACAAAGAAGGGAGTGGGGTTAACTGAGGAACAGAAGTTGAAAGGTGGTGGAAAAGGCTTAGAAACTATTAAAAGCAAGGAACCCAGGAACTCAAGGAACCCAGGGTGTGAACATGGCTTGTGTGGAGAGTTTGAATCAATTCCCTAAAATGAAGCACTGGAAAAGCAGAAGTTACTAAGTAACCAAAGTCCATGAACAAAGGCAGGTGTCAAGGTGGGAGAGAAGTGGCCCCAGGCCAAGGGAAAAAGGAGATTCTGAAGTGCTGAGTGAGAGGTTAATATGAAGCGCCATTCCCCATGGGTCCCTAGAAGGCGAGCCTGGGGACCCGTTGTCTGCTGCTGCAGAGTCCAGCACTTGTCCCCTTATCTCATTCCATGGTGTGAAAGTAGTGTATCCTCTTAGAGGTGACTGCCTACAACAGCTAATCAGCTTTCACTTAGGAAAGAGAACCTCCAGGACTCCTTCAGCTTTCTCTAGACCTGGTAGCCTATTGGGTTACTTCCAGAGGCCGGCGGTGAACGCTAAGTCCCTCATAAACCTGCTGTGCAAACAGTTCATGCACCCAGGCATACAGACAAGGGAGCAGCGTTTGTAAGCTTTGCTGAAGGAGTAACCACATAGCTGAACCACATGGCTGAGCCACGTAGCCAGGCCATGGGTGTTTGGTGGAGCCTGAGTTCTGCTCCTTTCACTGCAGCTGTCAGATCGTTTGGCTCCTGGGTGCAAATGAACATGTGTGCTGTTTTCTGCTTCTGCACATCTCAGTAATTCCAAAACCAAGATGCAACTTCCTCCTTGTTTGGCTATAATCATCCTTCGCACAGACAGTTTATTTTGGTGCTCGCAGACTTTCAGTTTTTGTTGTTGTGCTTTTCACGGCTGTGAAGCGGTTCTGCTTTTTCTACCGTGACATCCCGCTCGACCCTTCGTGTGGTTACTGTTACAAGAAGCAAATAATGCTTCTTGTAAGTGTTGTGTCTGATCTACATAAAGGCTATAAATTAACCCAAAAGGGAATTTCTTAAATTGTAATACTGTAGTGTGTGGCTCAGAGAGTTTCCTTAAAATCCAGCCTAACATCCACTCCAACATCCCATCTTCCACATGTTCTCGGCCTCGCCTCTGTCTCTCCATTCTGTAGTCTCTTCCCATCCCCTCTCATTTTTGCTGTTACCTGCTGTAGAACCAATCAGTGCCAGCCGTCTAGATCAGCATTCAGATACTAGGCTGTGTAGTGTCTCTGGTGTCACAGCTTCTGTTCTGTTGTCCTTTCATTTCACTCTTACCCAAGTGGGAAGTATTTGGAGAAATGTTATCCAGACGTATTAGCTAGTAAGCCTGAGGAGAACAAGATCACTATAATTGCTTCTGTAAAATTCTTTGCAAATACAGGCTTAAGAAAGTTCTGTGAGCATTTCCCCATATTACTAAATGGCTTTTGGAAGTGTAATGTCAGTGTTTGCATAATTGTTCATCATCTGAGTGTACCATAATTTATTTCGTCACTCCTATTGTTAGATATGTAGATTTCTAATGTATTTGATATTATAAATTATGCCATGATGAATGTCCTTGAAAATTAATCTTTGTCAGCCACACTGATTATTTTTCTAGGGTAAGTTCCAGGGAGTTTAATTGCTGGGCCATGGATTAGTAACTATTTTATGGTTCTTGATGCTCTTAATGAAATTGTTTTCTACAATGTGTGGTGACACTCATCTTACTGAATCTTAAAATTATTAGTATTTCTGAAAAAATCTTTGCCAGCTGATGACATGTGTAACATAGTGCTCTCTCAGTTGAATATTCTTGAGTAAACTAGTGTGTGATAGATGGTAGGGATCCTGCTTGGATTCACAGCTTCTTATCTAGATTTTTTTCTGGCTTATTATGAATTCAGCTTTTGCATTTAGTGGTGTAATTCTTGCATGTCATGGTGTGAAAGTATAAGTAGATTAGTGCTGATATGAATTCATTTCTGAAGACGTAACTCTAAGATTGGATACTGCGATGGTCTATGAGAACACGAATGGTAGGAATCACACGAGAGGGATGGCAGAGGAGATGTCTTGACAAGATCAGACCAACATCCTGGCCATGGTCAAGGCCAGAGAGGGCATGTGGGGTTAGGCCAGGTCAGTGGGCCTCTTTCAAAGGCAAGCCATTACCTGAAGTTGGCTGTCATGGCCAATTGGGATTCAGTCCTGGATTTCTGCTCATTTGTACGTATCAGAGGAGCTCAAATTTTGAAAGTTAAAAGAAGTGAATTT